TCTCCAGCGGCCAATCAGAACCCTGCTGGGCCAAAATGCCCTCTGGTCCTGCCCACTTCCTAAAACACTTGGCGGGCTCCAGCAAAGGTGTCGGCGAGCACCCTGTTGGGGACCCCTGTCTAAGAATATATTACATAGAACAGGACAAGGCCGCTTTGCTTACTCTAACTGCCGACCGAGCTCCGATCTTCGCATCAAAATCTGTTTCTCATTCACCGCGTTGCTAATGTTCCTCATATATTCCTGTATCTCCACTTTTAACTCAATCAGGTTGGACCTCGGTTCATCTCTGAGGAGAACGGCCTGGAATTCTGTCAGACAAAAGAGAAATGGTGTGTCAGCTCTTCCGCTAGAGAAGGTGAAGGAGGGGAGAAAACGCACGGTTGCCAGCTCCGGGTTGGGAAATACCAGGAGTTTGGGGGGGCGGAGTCTAAGTAGGGTGGAGTTTGGGAAGGGGAGGGACTTCATTGAGGTATAATGCTATAGAGTCCACCTTCCGAAGTGGCAATTTTCTGATCTCTGTCGCCTGGAGGTAGATTGTCATCCCAGGAGATATCCAGCCTAACCACCTGGAGGTTGGCAACACTAGATAAGAGCCTTAAAAAAAAACTGGGTCTGAACCATGAATACTTTTGCACAGAAAGAAGGTGCCACCCTTGGAGAAAATAAAAAACGGAGTTATCATGAATATTGGTTCTGTACTGGAGTTCAGAGACAAAAGCGAATCACAATAGTCTTATATCTAGGTGTGTTTTTTTTAAAAAAAACTGTTCCACTGATTTATTTATTTTTTTAATTTCCCCCTTAGCACGGACAGGTGAGCTGTTAACCACAAGGTCTGATTTCTGCCAGATCTAATGCGGACCGACATGGCTCCATAGTGTGGATTGAAAAAACACACACACTGGGTCTATGTCCAGACAGGGGCTACATTTTATGTGATCTCTGTTTTTCAGGGATGCAGGGGGGGGGGGAATACAAAAAAAATGGGTTTTTTTTAGTAAAGAGGATTTAACACCCCCACCTCAAATGTGCCCCAAAATGAAATTCTATTATCTTATTTGGCAAGAGCAGAGCCACTGTTTTAGATAGTGTGAGAGAAAAGAGGGTAGAGTCAGCAGAGCCAGTTTGGTGTCGTGGTTAGGAGCGCAGGCTCTGATCTGGGAGAACCGGGTTTGATCCCCCCACTCTTCCACATGCAGCTGCTGGGGTGGCCTTGGGTCAGTCACAAGTTCTCTCAGAGCTGATCTCTCAAGGGCAGCTCTCTCAGAGCTCTCTCAGCCCCGTCTCCCTCACAGGGTGTTTGTTGTGGGGAGGGGAGGGGAAAGGAGTTTGTAAGCCGCTATGAGGCTCCTTCGGGTAGTGAAGGGCGGAGTATAAATCCAACCTCCCCTTCTCTCAGAGGGAATAAGGAGGCAGTGACAAGAAAGGAGCTGGGGGGGAGGAGGAAAGAAGAGGAAAATAGGGCTGGGGAAGGAGAAATTTACAGTAGCAAATGGAGGGAGGAAGAAAGGGTAAGTAGGGGGCAGACGCTTCCAACGGCGGCTGGAGAAGGGGGAGTCTTCCTCATCCCCGCTGCAGCCCCTCCGCCTCAGTTTACTCAGAGTGTTAAATACACGTCCGTTTGTGACAAACCACTGTGCCGCAGCTCCCAAAAGTAAGCGAAATCAGGGTGGGGGTTAGCCCCCGAAAAGCGTCTTTGAATTCCCCCTCTCGCCTGACGTCGGCTTCCCACTCACCTGCGAAGAAGGCCACGGCCAGCAAGGCGGCCAGAAGTGTCATGACGACTCAACGAAGAGAGGCCGCTGTTATGAAAACAGTGGTGGTGGGGACCGAGCCGTGGGCACTCTTCGGGGGGCGTAAACAGAGTCCTCCTCTCTCCTCCCCACCTCCTGTCATTGATTAACACAGAGCACCGGCTTCCCAGTATCCCTCAATGATAAGCGTCCCAGGTCTTCCTGGCACCGGGATGGGGGTGTAGGGTTGCCAGATCCAGGTTTGGGAAACTCCTGGAGATTTGGGCTGGGGAAGGGCGGGGACCTCAGTGGGGCGCAATGACCTAGAGAGTCCACCCTCCAATGCAGCCATTTCCTCCAGGGGGGGCTGATCTCCGTAGCCTGGAGAGGAGCAGTAATTCCAGGGGGTCCCCAGGTCCCACCTGGAGGTTGGCATCCCGACTTAATGGGTTTTTTCCCCTCCATCTCCTCAAACTCTTTTTCTTCTTCTAGCGCATGATTTTGTGGGCTGGAGCCCAGCGTTCGGGCCTGTGGAGGCTCAAGCTAGGATAAGAATCCCGCTAGTCTTCAACAGGAGTCACGTGAACCCTTTAAAGACTAGAAAGATCGTTTGTTTCTGCAGCAACAAAGCGAACGCCATTGGAATTTGTTTCCCACTGTTCAAATCCTGTTTGTGTCCCCCCCCTCCCCATCTTGACATTTTAAATCTCATTTTAAATTCTATTAGTTTGGTGCCGTGGTTAAGTGCGCGGACTCTAATCTGGGAGAACCGGGTTTGATTCCCCCACTCCTCCTTGGGCAAGCCGTAG